TTTAGTTTGTTAGATTACTTTTGTGGGAGAGCTCTGTGCCTCCTGGCTTAATTTAAATTTTAAAAGAGGTTAATTGAAAAAGATGGCAATAGGTAGTCTTAACATTTAATGTTCAATTTAAGACAATACAACAAAAATTTGAAAAAAAAAAAAAGGAAAAAAATACCCTTGATAGGTTTGGAAAAAGTGACCTGTAAGTGGGGTTACCTTAAAGCTGCAATGCAAATATTACTTCCAGATTTTCCTTTTGCAAGCAGCTCTATTTGCATGTTAACTGTGCATGCAATGTGTGCATTGACATGGACTGAACTTCTCATAGACACTTTAAATAGTTCAGCCTGAATCTCCATTGGCTTTTCAGCTGATGAGTTACTGCCTTTGTAAAACCTAATAAAGTGGGGACCTCAGTGTTGGTGTTTAGCATGGAAAGAAGTTGTCAAAGATTTGTGTACAGTGTAATGAACATTCTGTCTAGTTCCTGAGAATGAAAACCTTGAACTCGTGGAAGAGAAAGGCTCTAACCAGCAGAGGGAACTGTGTTAATCAGTTCAGCATTCAGTCAGTACAGGATTCCATGTTCACAAGCAAACAGGAAAAGGAAATAATGACCCATGTTTCAAGAGGACCAGGTTCTGGAGCCAGACAGTGTCTGTATGGGAGCAGGAGCAATGCTTAGGAGCTGGATGTAGAAGGAAGATTGGGAAGCAAGCAGCCGTGGGGACCAGGTTAGCAACTGCTGGATTGTACTTTACAGTTAAAGCAATTGTGCCGAGGGGTCATTTTATTTCTGGTAGGCCTAATAAATTAGCTCTCTGCTATTTATTCTGAATCTGATAGTGATTATGGGAACTGACCACATGTTTGGAGTACCTAGATCAGACCCACTGAGCAACTTTTTAGTTAGTAGGTCAGGGGAGAAGTCATGGGTGAAGTAAGAAATTAGTCTCTCATGATGTGATTAACTCCCTGATAGTACTGCCCTTTCTTTGGCCTAGATTATTTCAGAATTTATCCAAAAGGAAATCTACACTGCATCATTAAGAAGGGAAAGCAAAACTTAGGGAAACATTAAGACATTTTTAAAGCTTCTAAGGGATTTTTTTCTTGGTGAAATTACTTACATACATCTACCTGAAAATTCCAAAGGGAATATTATTGACATTTCTTTTCTTCTTTCCCCTTCAACTGAAATCAAGATCAATTCACAAAGCCCTCCATTACTTGACACAAGGAACAAACGTATTGACATGATTAGCAGTGTTTAGAACATCAGTTCACAGAAGCAAGAAAGTTTACAGACCATAACATTAGTCTGTTGAGCTATCAAACCTGACTTGTGTTTTACCTTTCTGAGACAAAAGAGATTTTTAACTTGAACAATTGTCATTTTCCAGATCTCCAGAGCCGAGAAATCACTAAAAATCTCATTTAAACTTTCAGTTCTAGTTCTCAAGCAAATATACAGCACTGGTCAGTCCTTTTGCAAGATTTCTGGAGGGAATTGTTCATTATATCTAATGTATTTTTTTCATTGTTGTTTAAACTATGTTACATCAATTTTTCTTGTCATTTCACCCATCTTACTATGACCTTCATAAGAAAAAAGAACAGTACCAATCAAGCCTTTTCTTTGAATATTGTGCTTCCCAGAATATTATGTAATTAATATTGATTAAAAATCACAGAGAGCATCCTTGCACCATGCCATGACATCGCTTTTCATGCTTTTATCCAGAATGGAAATACTACTTTTGAGATTTCTTTTACAAAAATAATGTGATTTCATTTAATTTTATTCCTTCAGACAGAACAAAAACAGCAACAAATCATTAACAGCAAGATTAGGGAAGTTATTTTCTTCTCATTAAAAAGAGATATCAATAAACACATACTAACCTAATTTATCTAACAGCTGAACTTAGTACGACATTTAACCATGGACATTTTCAAGCATCAAGCATCTAGTTAAAGGTCAAGTGATTTTAACCATCTAAAAAAAATGTTAATGCATGATTTTTAAATTATTTTTTGTGTTAAATACGTTCTACATTTGTATACAAGAAAAACTTTCATTACAAAAGTCCTACCATAGAATTACAGTCTACTTGGGCATGCCAATCTATTCTGCTATCCAGAATAAATAAATGTCCATTTAAATAGTCTGTTTTATGTGACAAATACTTAAAAACATGCTTTGAGGAAGAATGGAAGAATATAGTCAAATGAGTTTTATATTGCTTGTAATACATTTAATTTGGGAATTTATTGTTCATAGATGAGAATGATTGACAGGCCTGAAGACAGAAATTCTCTGTTTATTCAGAGAGCATCTGCACAAGGACAGGGGCAATTGCTATTGTTCCTTAAGCTGACCTGGTGGAACTACCTCTAAGCACAGAAGCATAACTCATTCGCTGATTCTTCAGCGGATTTTGGCTGCTTTGCTGAGAGCCTCAGTAATTTGTCCATGAATATTTCGTCATACAGAAGAGGACCAAGTCCATCCAATATCAACTAGATAGCAACTATTTTCATTCATTAGTGTTCTGAGAAAAGATTTGACCCATCACTCTTGAACTGAAAGGTTTGTTAGTTTTTTACAAATCCTCTGAGTCAAGCACTACCTAATTTTCATGCTTTTCAATGTATTTGATGGTATTTTTATTTGTACTTTATTAAAATGTAAAGCGGCCAAATTTTACATTTTATTAGCTGACTTCTCCTCTGCTCCCCCCCATCTCTCCATTGACAATCAATGGTGCAAAACTTTTCTTCTAAAGGTTGAAACTCTAGTCTGGCACCCTCAGGACCAGACTAGTGCTGAACCAGAGAATTTGCTGAACCACAAGAGATTAATTGTCTAGAAGCATTACCAACACTTCCATTGCTTACAGGCTCTGTTAGAACTCTCTAGAACTGTCAACATGAATGGAGTTACCTTGGAGATATAATGGAAGACCAATAGGGCTGCCAACCCTCCAGGATTGTCCTGGAGTCTCCCAGAACTGGCACTGATGTCCCATCAACTGTTAGAAGCAATCTGGGAGATTTTAATAAGATATTCTTTTTTTTAAATGACATT